TACCAACATCTGGTGAAAATTTCATGTCATTATCACCTCTAGTAATATATTTACTGAGAAAAATGGTGACGTGTTCAATACTTATTTTACCCGCTGTATTTTGCTAACACATTTGAATTGATTTTGCTTGCTAGTGTAAAGGCCCGTAACACTGTTTTAGACAACTTATGCCAACTTAGGAAACTTTTAAAGGCATCTATGCTGAAGATGGAGTTTTAAAAAAATCAACCGGAAGCCTCTTTTAGGCATGTACATACTGTAATGCTAACAAATTGATCAAATATATAACTTTTATTAGTAAATTAGACATAAAGATTTTCATAAATTGGAATAAGTTGCCTAAAACATTGTAGTGTTACAGGGACTGAACAGATGAAGCAGTGATTCAAGGATTTAAGGATTAAAAGTGTTTATTGTCATTTACAGAGCTGAAACATGTTTCACTTTGCAATGATATTGTTACTTTGCCAACACAGTGATTGCCAAGAGACAACCAGACAAAATACACAATGGATATAAGAAAATAAATAAGAAAAATAAGAAAATAATAACGGCCCTATGATAACAGACCACTCTTAAAAAAAGACCAAGCTAAACAGAATAAGTTAAAGAGAACAACACTATCAGTGGCTAAAATGTTCAGAGGGTAATAATCTGAAGTGTACAAATGTGCAATAGTAATCGTCAGAAGATTATCATATTCAGCTGTTTATTTTTAGCTTTTAACTAATGATTTGATCATCTTTGATTTTTGTTATAGTTGTTCTAATTCTAGGTTTTTAGCAACTATTTTGCTTGTTTTAGTTTTTACTCATTTTTTCCCCCAACTTTAACGTCCAGCTACGGCGTTACTAATTTCAGCTTCTTTAAACGTTCAGTTTCAGCTTATTCAACATTTTTTAGCAGGTGTTGTTCACACGTATTTTTGTGAAACAATTTTACATGTTTCTAATTTATTCTATTTGTCTCATTTGTTGGCTGAATTTGTCTTTTGACTTCTTTGTTCCACCAGTGGGCAAAAAGTGTGCGGCTTCTGCCTTTAAACGTTTCCAGACATTACCGGGGGCTTTTATTTTGAAAACTAGGGTGTCAGACAACTTTCTCCGGTTCTTACCTTTAGTTTTACATGCTTACAAAAAATAAAACAAAATAAAATA